CAATAAAAACTCGTTGTTTAAAGAATTTCAATAGAGACAATTTTCTTAGAAACTTGGAACAAAAGCGGTGGTGTGATGTTAACACAAATACTGATCCTAATGATATGTGGGACACGTGGAAAAGTTTATTAATGGAGTGCATTGACAAGCACGCACCATCTCGCTCCAAAAGAGCAGGCAAAAAAAATCGCCGTGGATAACAATCCAATTGTTACGACATATGCATAAACGAGATTATCTGAAGCGGAAAGTAACATTGGCCGATGATCAAACTTTATGGGAAGAATATAGGGTTGCTCGAAATCGTACCAATAACGAAATTAGAAAAGCAAAGCAAGAGTATTTTATAACGCATTTGGAAACTGCTAAAACAAATCCAAGAAAAACATGGAAGTTAATTAACGAACTAAGCTCGCGTAATTGTAATAAGTCAAGTAACATTAACGAGATTAAAGTAGACGGAAAAACAATAAATACACCTGCAAATATAGCTGAAGCTTTTAACAATCACTTTTCAAATATTGGTGAGAATCTAGCCTCAGAGATACCCATTTCTAACGTTAACCCTGAAGACTATTTAGAATCAACTGAGCAGAGATTTTCCATTAGACCTCCTACGGTTGATATGGTTTATATTCTGTTGAGTAAAATTAACGAACGAAAAGCTCCAGGTCTCGACAACATTCCTAATAAGCTGTTAAAAATAGCAGCTGCAATAATCTCACCATCATTAACTGATATATTTGCCAGATCAATTAACACTGGTATATTTCCATCCGAGTGGAAAATGGCTAGAGTAACACCAATATTTAAGAAAGGAAAAAGGAATGATCCGAATAACTATCGACCAATATCAGTTATTTCAGCTGTAGCCAAAATCTTCGAAAAATTAATCTTTGAGCAACTTTATACTTACTTCAGTTCTAACAGCTTGTTAACGCATTGCCAGTCCGGTTTCAGGTCGTTACATAGTACACTTACTGCTCTTCTTGAAGCCACTAGTAACTGGTCAGTTAATATTGACAATGGCCTCTTCAATGGAGTAATATTTATCGACCTTAAAAAAGCATTCGATACTATTGATCATCAGATATTGCTGCGGAAGCTTCGAATTTACGATATGGATCAATTAAGTCTCGAATGGTTTCAGTCTTATTTGACCGGTCGATCTCAGAAATGTAATGTTAGAGGTTGCTTGTCATCATCTGCATCAGTTACATGTGGTGTACCACAGGGAAGTAACTTAGGACCATTACTCTTCCTTGTGTATATTAACGACCTTCCTAATTGTCTCAGTGCAGCAGTACCGAGAATGTTTGCTGATGATACGAACATTAGTTATGCGGCCAACACTATCGCTGAACTAGAAAATGTTATTAATTCGGAATTAAAAAAATTGAAAAGCTGGTTGGAAGCGAACAAATTAAGCCTTAATATCGCCAAGACAGAATTTATGATAATAGGATCTCGACAACGTATGCATGCGCACACTAACGAAAATATCAATATTGACCTGGATGGTCATGTGATTAAACAAGTTGATCAGGCAAAATCACTAGGTGTAATTATTGATAAAAATCTGTCTTGGTCTAAACACATTGATATGAAGTGTAAACAGATTTCTTCCGCTATAGGTGCTCTTAAGCGAATAAAACCATTTATATCAACTGAAACAGCAATCCAAATTTACAACGCTATAATTCAACCTCACTTTGATTACTGTAGTCCCATTTGGGACGAATTTGGCGCAACATTATGTGAAAAAATGCAAAAATTGCAGAATAGAGCTGCTAGAGTGATTACGAAATCCAACTACGATGTCAGCTCTAGCATTCTCTTAGAGAAACTGCATTGGGACAATCTTTCCTTACGTAGGAAAAAGCACAAGTCTATACTAATGTTTAAAACCATCAATAAGCTAACGCCAGAGTATTTACAAAACATGTTTACATTTCGCAGCACAGATTATAACTTAAGAAATGCAGAAATGAAGCTAAATTTACCAAAACCACGTACGGACTTTATGAAGCGTAGTTTCTGCTACAGTGGAGCAAGTTTATGGAATGCGCTTCCTCAAACTGCACGTACGTCCAAATCATTGAGGCATTTCAAAAATGAAATTAATCAATTCTTGACATTATAATGGGATCCCCACACGGCAATCTTGGAAAACAGTGCATTTTAGTTAGGAAATTAGTGTGTATATAGTAATGTGTGAAATTTATTAATAGTTTTTGTATTTTATTCTACACTGAAGATTTTACCGTGTTTAAATAAATGTTCAATGTTCAATGTTCAATCAGTTCTAAACTGTTCTCCCTAGAAGCCCAGTAAGGATCATCTCTTATTGATTCAGTGTTACTGCAGGAGGAAACCTAAACTAAACTAACTTTATTTATACTGGATAGCTCTATCAGTTCTAAACTGTTCTCCCTATAGAGGTCCAGTAAGGATCATCTCTTATTGATCCAGTGATACTACAAGAGGAAAAACAAAACTAAACTTTCTTTATTTGTAATATGCATATATATTTCGGTCTTAGATAAAGTATAATACCTGTTCCCTTGACACTGGCCTGTGGTAGATTGCGGGCTTTCATTACAATCAAAGTGAGACGTCCAGCAATACGGAGATAACCCAAAGAGAAGAGAATGTCACCAAGCTGCATTCGCTAAAGAAATCACAACATCAATTACTATGCAACACAAACTGACGTATCAACAAAACCAACTATATATCCAGGGGACGGTTGTACAAAAAAGTGATTAAATTTAACTATGATTAAGTGCATTTAGTTAACCAATAAGAATTTCTGAAAGTAGAGTTAATACTATTTAATCACAAAAATGTGATTAAAAAGTGATTAAAAGCGATTAAAAGTTTTATACAACCAGCCCCATAGAAACAAGCTAGAACAGCGTAATCGATACTGGTAACGGTTCTCGATACAAATCATGTCAGATATCGTCCTGATAGTTCTTTATAACTTTAGTGGGAATATTAACAATAACATTAAATATGTATTCCAAAAGAAAAAGTGCGAACGGATCAGAAAAAGCCCATGCGAGGCACCTCCTTATAAATTTTACAATTATATTTACATTACACTATAAGTTATAGTTGAGGCAAAGCTCGATTTGCGCTTACCCACAAACTGATCTCTCAAATACGTAAAAGGCAGATTTTGGAAAAATTGTACAGAAAATGAAACTAACTTGGTTTAGAAAAAATGTGACTTGGGCATGTACACGAAACGAACTTTACTTCAATCAAAGAACTTTACATTATTTTAATTTCTTTGACATGGGCAGTCTCGAACAAGAGACCAGGTACATGGCATGTCTACGTCAAAAACTGAATTACGTAAAAACGAATAAGTCCGACGTAGAAAGTTCTTAAAAGTAAAAGAAAAAAGTAGTAGAAAAAGAAAAGTAGTTCTTAAAAGTTCGTCTAATATCGTGTTTCGTAGCACGTGTAGAAAAAGAAACGCGCGAGTTTAAAGCAATTTCCGGCATGCGTGCGGGTCTGCAGGAACAAAATTAAAATGAGTGACTTTCCAAATGCGAGACACTCGTCAGGTCTGCAATATCCCAGAAGCAATTGCGAAAACTACAACTATAAGCTCTCTGGCAAGTATCGAGCCTGCAGCCCCGTGATTCCGGTGCAGCACTCGAACCAACTGAAATTCACACTCTTCCATCGAAAAAATCCTAGGACATACACCCGAACCATCCACTCCCCCCTTACCTCAGTGGTTGGTTTCAGATCCAACGAGAAAATCTGCTCCACGGACGGTTGTAAATCTTCTAATGGCAACACGGCCTGGCCAATCACGGTGTGCCGTGAGTCGGATGAAAAATTGAACACTGTAAACCACAGCGTTTGAGAATACAGGTTTGAGAACATGACCTCGAACTCAAATTTCTCATTAAAAATCGGAGCTCTGGTTTTCTGTTGAACTTTCGACTGTAGTAGGTGGTGATATTCTGGCTGTAGGGTGAGGGTAACGTACGGGTTGAGGTGTTTGGAGTCGTCGGCTTCCGGGCGTGCGAGATTGAATGCCGCCATGAGAGTGACTCGGAGGATGTTGCGAAACGCATCGTAGAGAAGGGAGAATTTAATCTCACCCAGAAATGGGGTTTGTGTAGCGCTGTCATCCGCGTTTTCAATCTGAAACAGAACGAGGTATTGTGATAACGAGCGCATACATCTCCGCAACGTACTTTTTATGAAAAAAAATTAAATCCTACATGTACCTCGTACATAGCAGGGTCTATTTCACCAAAATCATCAAATGACGACATTGAACGGTTAATGTCTTTGAGACGCGGATGTGCGACGGGATGAGACACGTAATCTGGAAGAAAATTATAGTATTGATAAAGTGTTACTACAGGAGGAAACCTACAAACTTTATTTATGCTGGATAGCTCTATCAGTTCTAAACTGTTCTTCCTAGAGGTCCAGTAAGTGTCATCTCTTATTGGTCCAATGTTACTACAGGAGGAAACCTAAACTAAACTAACTTTATTTATACTGAATAGCTCTATCAGTTCTAAACTGTTCTTCCTAGAGGTCCAGTAAGGTTCATCTCTTATTGGTCCAGTGTTACTACAGGAGGAAACCTAAACTAAACTAACTTTATTTATACTGAATAGCTCTATCAGTTCTAAACTGTTCTTTCTAGAGATCCAGTAAGGATCATCTCTTATTGGTCCAGTGTTACTACAAGAGGAAACCTAAACTAAACTAACTTTATTTATACTGGATAGCTCTATCAGTTCTAAACTGTTCTTCCTGGAGGTCCAGTAAGAATCATCTCTTATTGATCCAGTATTACCACAGGAGGAAACCTAAACTAAACCAACTTTATTTACACTGGATAGCCCCATCAGTTCTAAATTGTTCTCCCTAGAGTAAGGATCATCTCTTATTGATCCAGTGACCAGTGTTACTACAGGAGGAAACCTAAATTACACGCGTGAAAGGCACGTGCATCAACCAATGTGCTACCTCAACATTGAAAAATTGAAGCAAGGCCTACCTGCGCCGAAGAATTCAGTTGGAGTAACGGGGGATACATCTGGTCCCATACTAGTCCCCAGGAGATCCGAGCTCGAGCCCGTGCTAGGCCTCATGGTAACGACCTCATAGCTGGGTTTGAAGGGAGATGATTTCTCTCCTATCACGTGACGACGATGCCGACGACGATATACGTAAGAGATAAACACGGCTGCAAACACGAGAACTACAGCGCAGATTGCCACTGAGAGTATCGCTATGTCATTCATGCCTGCATCTGGATCAATCTGAAATAATAATATATTTATAATTATTTAATGTAAATTGCACAGGGTGTGGTTATTCCAATTCACCCAAGACAAAGGCTCATGGTACACATGGTCGACAACCAAGAACTAAGGATTAGTTCTCTGTGAGAGGAGAACAACTCTCGGAGCACATGAGCGAAGCAACCGAAACTGTACTTAAATGGGTTCTTAAGTACATCAAACCACAGCAGGGGTTACTCTTCCTTAGTAATACTCTCGCCCTGCAGTGCATGCGTAAAAACACACAACCTAGTCTGCGAACTGCTCGTTCCCTTCCGCTCAAGTGAGCCGCGCGCTGGCCAAGTTGATATCGTTCAGGTTTAACAAACCTTGTTCAAGTCCCAAAATACGAGAGAACTATCTCTCTGTGAAATAAAATAGTCAGAAGTCAGACAGAGTTAAACACTAAAGTAGCCCCTATATTTAAATCGTGAATATTCAGAAATTTGAATTTCTCGGTAGTTGTATCCTTATGGCCCTCCTTTCTAACACTGGCGCATATTCTATTCAACGTTCTATTAATATCTCAACACTATAAACATTTTTACCTGTCAACAAGAAACATTTCCCAACCATCGCGAAAACTTGCCTGTATATGTTAAACCCAATTGTAATTTAACTTTACTCTTGAGTTCAACGAGACGGTTATAATTCCCCACATTTCCTGGTTAAATAAAACATCTCTGACCCAACGGATAAGCAATTTGAAAATATAAAGACTTTTGAAGAATAATCTAATTTCGAATAAAACTCAGATGTTAGTATACTGAGTACCTTTAAAACACTTCTTTGATTGAAATAACTTTTAGAACATGCAAAGATTATTGTTTGTATATATATAGAAATGAACGGTTATTTGAACTTTGATGTTTGGACAATGCCGAAAGTTCATTGTTTCCATATGGTATGACATAAACACACAATATTCTTTCATATGCAAATAAACCACTCCAATTCAAAACTGTTTATTATGTAATCCTAAAACTCTTTGTGTCATAAAATGATCCTGCTGAATATGAGTAAATCTCTGTATCGCGAAGCAGATGTTGGTCATGGAGCGAGAAATAATGACTGATGTTTTAGACTGTATATATACTATATATATATACTGTGTATTGCAGAGTTCCCCCATGCAATACTCCCGTTCTCCTAACGACTCATGCCGTGAAAAGAGACAGCCAACGCTCTGCCGAAAGTCGTGGGTTTTCTCCGAGTGCTCCGGCTTCCTCCCACAGGGAAGTCGACAGGGTGGGTTAGGATAAATTGCAGTTATCAGAAGTAATATCACAATTGTTGCAAAGATAAAAATAGTTAAGTATGTGGAATATAAAACAACGGCAACTCTAAAATAAACATTTTAATATTCTAGCTTTCGACTAAGATTCAGCCATCATAAAAATCATAGGAATCATCAATTCATCATCATCCTGATGATGACAGGAATCTTAGTCGAAAGCTAGAATATTAAAATGTTGATTTTCGGAGTTACCGTTGTTTTATATTTTATTAAAATACTCAGTGGTTCCCGTTATTTTAAGTATGTAGACATTTCTCATGACGTCAACGCGAAAAATACTTATATTGCTATGTTCTAAGGAGCAATTCAAATGGTGTTTTTATGAAATTTATTGGCTAGCCAACGACTTCACAGGTCAATGCATAAATTGGTTTTGCGCGTTTGCCGTCATTATAGGGGAGGTCTGTTAGGTAAACGTATAATCCTTGACGTCAAGCACATTTGATCATATTCGAATGTGAATTTGAGCTATAGAAATCTTAGTCGTAATTTTATCGTCTTTACATACACTATATATATATACACATTTAGAACTAAAGAAAGAAATTTAAGTTTGATAGCATGGAATGTGTTCTTTGAAGAAAGAAAAGATCTTTCAGAACAAAAAGCACAAGACTAAAATCTTTATTGTGAGCTATCAAATATTTCAGGCTGAAACAAAGTCACTTGTATGGTACAAACATCTTTAGTTTCACATGCGTTTTCATTATTGAAATTACACATAATTGGTCTATAGTGTCTGAACAAGTGATCTGAAAAAATATCTCAAATGTGGTGGTCCAGTGTAGGTAGTATTCCACAATAAGCTGCCGTGGTTTGTGTCTGAACTACTGAAAAAGATATCTCAAACGTGGTGGTCCAGTGTAGGTAGTATTCTACAATAAGCTGCCGTGGTTTGTGTCTGAACTACCTGAAAAAGATATCTCAAACGCGGTGGTCCAGTGTAGGTAGTATTCTACAATAAGCTGCTTTGTGTCTGGAGGAAAGCGGAGTGTCCAGAGGAAACGTACTCATCATTGTCGGCAGAGTGTGGACTCTTTTCAAATGGAAGGCGTTTGTTTTGACAGTCGCGCCACCAAAAATGACCAAAGCGGCAATATTATAAGATGGATTCTTTTTGTAAACAAACAGTGACGGATGCAGATGAAAACAAATTTAAATTGTTTTTGCGTGATTAGGTTAAGCACATCTTAAGTTCCCTACGACAGGGGAAGTTAGAGATACGCATATGACTAATATCACAATATAAATATTTATTAGACAAATTAAACAGAATAGAACCCAAAAACTGGTGGAATACAGGCATGGAATATGTTTAGGTTTCCTCCTGTGGTAACACTGGATCAATAAGAGATGATCCTAACTGGACCTCCAAGGAAGAACAATTTAGAACTAATAGAGCTATCCAGTATATTAATAAATCAAGTTAGTTTAGTTTATGTTTCCTCCTGTAGTAACACTGGATCAATAAGAGATGATCCTTCCTGGACCTCTAGGAAGAACAGTTTAGAACTGATAGAGCTATCCAGTATAAATAAAGTTAGTTTAGATAAACCACGACAGCTTATTGTAGAATACTACCTACACTGGACCACCACGTTTGAGATATCTTTTTCAGGTAGTTCACACACAAACCACGACAGCTTATTGTAGAATACTACCTACACTGGACCAGCACGTTTGAGATATATTTTTCAGATAGTTCAGACACAAACCACGACAGCTTATTGTAGAATACTACCTACAATGGACCACCACGTTTGAGATATCTTTTTCAGGTAGTTCAAACACAAACCACGGCAGCTTATTGTAGAATACTATACTTACACTGGACCACCACGTTTGAGATATATTTTTCAGGTAGTCCAGAAACCATGACAACTTATTGTAGAATACTACATACAGTCCTACGCTGACCAATCACGTTTGAGATATCTTTCTTGGGTAGTTCAGACACAAAACACGACAACTTCTACATGAACTATTGCATGCATGAACCACTACATTACACAATATTGTGCATGATTTATCGCACCAATTAAACGGTCCATATAGTTTATAACTATAACATTACCATATTAAAACAAGCTGTACAATATGAAAGCAGAGAGGAAAAAATTGTAAGAACTATGCTTCATCCAGACATTATTTACCCAAAATAAGTGGTTTGTTTAAGCTGTCAATACGAAACAAGATAGACACCGTAATATCGAAGCGGACGTATTGCCAGGGCTTATTGGCGAGTTATAGATACCGGTAACTCAGATAACACGGTATAGTTTACGATAACTATATTGGTACTCATACACTGCATTGGATAATCTAGTAAGCGTTGCTGGCCAGTGGGATGGTGTTCAACTTTTGAAATGTTGATATAATTATTGAAGCAGGAAAATTCAACTTCATCTCTTATTAATTCTATTATTGTATATAATAGAATTCATAAGATATACGGAATAATATAACAAATATACGGAACTATTATCATACCATGAAAAGAATCAACATAATATATCTTCTCGTTCTGATAATCACTTGTATCAAAAAAATAATCGTGCAAATCAACAAATTGAAATAACCCACATACTCTTTAAATATGAGTACATTTCCTGTATAAAAATTTGATGTGTTTCACTGTAAGCAGTATCGTGCATCAGATGGTGTTCAACCTGCAGTTAGCAGAATGGCAAAATAATGTTCATTCTTTTCATTATATATGCACGTAGTCTTGTATTTTTGTGGCAAATGAGCAGAATTAAGAGATGTAATAAACTACAATGTAGTTTAATTTTCCTGTTCCTATTAAGTGTCAGCATTTCTGAAGGTGAACTTGGTCTGCCCAGCAACACAGACTGAAACCCACTTATATCACTATATATAAGACACAAACCTCATAGTCGTTTATGTAACAGCCATGTTAGATCGTCTTTGGTATCATATATCCAATTTCTTCAGCCCAAAATCTTCATGAATCCCGACACTAAACAACTCACAACTCAACACAATACGGGATATGAAATCAGTCATGTACGAGTTTCTAAGATACTTTACCCGCGAGCTATATCAATATACAAAGAATCTTAAATTTGGACGCATGGTTACCTAAGCGCATCGTGATTGTATGTCAGATACAATGATCTTAGTAGAGCGTGTAATAAATTGATAATATTCAGTTCCCCTCAGGTTTTAAACACATCAGATCGATACACCTTGTCTGATTGGTGAGAATATTTGAATGATATTGTTACACAGGCTTTTAGCCAGGGTCCTGAAGAGGGCGTCCAATTTTGGCACAACGATACATCTACAGCAAAGAGGGGGGAGGGGGTTTGAGAAAACGATCCTCTGGAAAACCTTTGAAGTTTATGTTACTTCATATCAGTATATGTTCCAAGCTCAAACACACTTGGCTTTGCGAGTTTGTACCGCTATGCTTCTTTACTTAACTACGACATTTTCATTCAGCCAGGTACACCATCAAATTGATCAAAATGTCAAATGTATAATAATAATGAGAATTGAAGATATTTCGTTTCAGATATATTAATATACTTAGGGTAAATAATTGAAAATAATTCCCCTTTCCCCCAGAATTTGGGCGTCCAAAGGCGTCCTTTTTTGTTCTATGGGCCTCCCAGGACGCGTGGACGCCCCTCTGGCTAAAAGCCTGGTTACAGGCAGTATTGACTAAGCCAACCTGCTGTTATCAGAGTGAGAAAATAATGTTCATTCTTTTTATATTTGGAGACGAATAAATTGAATGATGATATTTTCTGTGTTGGTGTAATGTACTTAGGTGAATATGATGTTTGTGATGTTACTCTGAGTGTATATCCACACCGGGCAAGCTTGAAAAATATGCCTGACCATGGTGGGAATCGAACCTATAAATTGAATGACGTAGTTTAATTTTGTTGTTGCTGCAGTGTTAACATTTCTCAAAACGACCAAAATCTACCACCTCGTAAAGCTCATTACCATTCAAGAAAAATTTCCACGGACAGAAAATTTGCCGAAAATATCATTGTTAAAAGTTGAAAATTTTCAACTTCAAAATGTTTTTTTCAACCGAAAATTTTTGTCGGCCAATCACATTTCACAAAATTCTTTCTGCGGAAAATTTTCCTGAATGGAAATGGGCCATCACGCTTATACATGCTGGGGAAAAATTCCATGATTTACCATGTTCAAACCATTCATGGAAAAACTGTTACTATTATAAACTGGTTATTGTAAATTTCCCAAATGGTAAACTGGTCACGATGTTTAATAAATAACCAATAATGCTAGATTTTTGGTAGAAGGAACTAGATTCTGTTCCAAAATATCACATACTCGAACCGACCAGACCGCGTAGCTCAGTTGGCAGAGCATTGGGCTAGTATTCCAAAGGTCGTAGGTTCGATTCCCACCGTCGTCATATCATCACATTGTATGCGCCGCATGGATGGCTGCATTTTTATACCTCTCCTAAATTTTATATATTTGATGTTTTAAAATGTTGTTTGAAGTTAACCATCGACTTGTAAGCCTTGCTAAAAACATTATTAAACCTAAATGGCCAAAATACCGTGGAAATAGAGCGGGTCGTGCAGTTCTGGAACGAAATCTACGACATCGAGCTCAAATTGAAGTTATTCACCGCCATCCGGTCAACCAAAACGTATCTGTACGGAAACATACACGGCGCCATAACATTGCTAACTGCATAAAAATCAACGTGGGACCACCTGCAAATAGGAGGAGATCTCCATCAACTTTTGTTCCGTCGTTGTATCTATCAAATGTTATGTCCTTGGCCCCGAAGATCGATGAAATTCGGCATTTTGCAAGCCAAGCCAATGTGGACCTTATTTGCATAACAGAGACGTGGCTTAAAAGCCATATTGACGACAATATAATCGACATTGGGGGTTATAGCGTGGTGCGGAGAGACAGAATTGGCATTGACCACGGTGGCATATGTACGTATATTAAAAATAACATCAATTTTGCCCTCCTAGATGATCTACAAAACCCAAACTATGAAGTTCTCTGGTTAAAGTTACGACCGGCGAGACTTCCAAGGGGATACAGCTCTATTGTTTTAGGAACTGTTTACCATCCGCCAAGTGCTAATGACCGGGATTTACTGCAATATCTTTATTCATGCCTCTCATTGATCGAATCTCGTTTCTTTAACTGCGGAATCTTGTTGGTTGGTGACTTTAACAGGTTGAATATTTCCAGGCTGAGAAACAACTACAACCTTAAGCAAATTGTGAATTTTCCAACACGCGGCTCCAGAACCTTGGACTTAGTGTTAACTAATCTAAAGCAATTTTACAAAGATCCTATCCAACGATCCCCTCATGGTTTATCTGACCACATGTCAGTGGAAATACAACCTAAGAATAGATTGCAGCTGCCAGACCAGCGCCGAACCATTAAATCAAGAGACCTTAGACCAAGCAATCGTCTCGCGTTGAGTTCGTATCTCGAGACTGTTGATGTTAATGCACATACTAATACGGTCAACTCCTGCGCGGAAAAAGTTGCAATTCTTGAATCAATTGTTCAAGTGGAGTTGGATTATGTATTACCCTTACGATCTAAAACGATATATCCCGGCGAACCACCTTGGGTCAGCTCGACCCTGAAAGATCTCATTCGACGTCGCCAGAGGGCTCTCATGCAAGGTAACCTTCCATTGTTCCGTCTTCTCAGAAATCGAGTGAACCGTGAACGCAAGACCTGTAGAGCGAAATATTATGACACTAAAGTGGCACATTTGAAAGATTGTAATCCATCCTCATGGTGGAGTGAAGTCAAGAAACTAAGTGGCCTATCTTCCATGTCCTCTAGCATAAGTGACCTTGCAAATCATCTTCAGTGTTCTGATGGGACCCCCGAAGACGAAGTTTTAGCGAAAACAATTAACGAAGCCTTTTTATCTCCAATGCGTATCTTTGAACCCTTGCCTAATGATTATGATCCCCAGCATAATGACCCATCTGCAGAACCATCAGCAGTTCCATACATGGTCACCGCTGACAGGGTTTATTTAAAGCTCTCCTCCCTCAATCCAAAGAAAGCCACCGGACCAGATGGCATACCAGCTTGGCTGCTTAAGGAGAATGCCGATTTATTACTGACTCCTATAACAAGCATTATCAACTCTTCCTTTAGCGAAGGGCGTCTCCCTCCATCATGGAAAAGTGCCGATATTGTTCCTATTCCTAAACAGAAACAAGTCCAGGATATTAACAAAGATTTACGCCCAATATCGTTAACACCGGTTCTATCCAAAGTAGCCGAAGAGTTTGTTGTAGAGGAGCATGTGCGACCGGCTGTAATAAAGAAGATCAACGATAACCAATTCGGATGTATACCGAAATCTTCCACTACACAAGCTTTACTCAGCATGGTGCATACTTGGACCAAACATACTGACGGGTCTGGATCAGCAGTGCGGGTCGTACTTTTCGACTATAAGAAAGCATTCGACCTGATAGACCACAGTATCCTGGCTTCTAAGTTGTCCACCCTCAACTTACCGCATTCTATCTTGAGCTGGATATTAGACTATCTTAAGAATCGCAAGCAAAGGGTTAAACTTGGTCAGGACTGTAAATCTGAATGGGGTGATATACCAGCAGGGGTACCCCAAGGGACCAAGCTGGGCCCGTGGCTTTTCGCCTTAATGGTCGATGATATCGATGTCACCAACACAGATCTATGGAAATATGTAGATGATACTACAATCGCGGAAAATGTTGCAAAGAACCAGGCAAGTAGAATCCAAGACGATGTTAATGAGCTTATAACAAAATCGGGTGAGAATAAATTCCAATTAAATGAAAAAAAGTGTAAAGAAATGCGAATATCGTTTGCAAAGTCGCCTGCAGATTTCAACCCAATCATCGTTAACGGAAAAGCTATCGAGCAAGTTTCACGTGTCAAGCTACTTGGATTGAACATTACGAGTGACCTGAAATGGAACCACCATATATCGGAAATATCGCGGAAAGTGTCCAAAAGACTCTACTTCCTCAGACAATTGAAGAGAGCAAGAGTCGCAAATAAGGATCCGGTAATCTTTTACATCACATGCATTCGGCCCGCCATGGAATACGCCTGCCCTGTCTACCATAATTCACTGCCCAAATATTTGTCTGATGAACTTGAAGCCCTACAGAAGCGTGCCATGAGAATTATTTTCCCATTTGTTTCATATTTTGAAGCATTAGAACTCGCTAAATTAGAGACAGTGTATATTCGTAGACAGACTCAAACAACTAACCTTTTTCAGGAAATTAGTAATAATTCAGAACATAAACTATATCGATTTTTACCGAAGTTAAATAAATGTAATTTTAAGCTTAGGAATACTCGTAACTTTCAAGTTCCTGTCTGTAAAACTAACAGACTTCAGAACAGTTTTTTTTATAGTAATTGTACATAGTTTAGTCGTACTTAGATCTTTTAATTGTATTTTTGATGTTATTGTAAATTCCTAATCTAATTCAGCTCAATTTTGGCTGTAAATTTTGGGATCATTAAACTATCTATCTTATCTATCTATCTATC